GAGCATGGCGGGTGGAACAGACTCCTCAGGTCTGCCACACTTTGAGCATTTTTAGACTGAGCCATTTATTTATTTATTTAGACCATTTCTACCCCGAGGGGGGACTCAGGGCGGCTAACACAGGCAACAATTCAATGCCAACAGTGTCAAAACAACAATATAAAACAGCAATATAAAATCCATTACATAACAATTAAACAGTAATATTAATTAAAATTACATAATCACATAGTGGAGGTTGGCTTTTGCGGAATGAGATAGGATTGTTGTTGTTGTTGTTTTTGTGTGCTTTCCAATCTTTTCAGCCTTAGGTTGACCCTGAGCGAGGGCCGGGTAAATGACCATGGAGGGCCGCATCCAGTTCCCAGGCCTTAGTTTGAGGACCCCTGCTTCACAGTCTCTCCCGTCGTTTTCCTTTGAAGTTCATCAAAAACTCTTCTCTTATATAAATCCCACTTCCCAGGACTTTCCCCTTTTCAGGCTGTGTTGCATATGCTTATTTGGGCATTGTTGAGGTGGCTTCTATGGGAAGATCACTCAGAGCAGATGCCCTTTCTTCCCAGGTTGGGATTTATTGCGTTGGTCACTGCAAAGACATTCCTCGGAAGGACCCTGGATGGAACACCTGTGTTTCTTGAGCTCTCCTTCCGCTGCTGGAAACCTTCCCTTGGACAGAGGACGAGGAAGAAAAGGGGGAAGAGGGCAGGGACGTGGTCAGGAAGAAGGCCTTGTGGGTGGAGCTGTGCTTGTCTGTGCATGCCATCCTGGGGCTGAGCCAAGGGGTGAGTGGCACAAAGGGGACTTCCTCCAGCAGAGACTCATTCTGTGAACGTCTCCACCAAGCCTCAATGTGGTTTTGGATTAGGTGGTGGAGAGGCAGGGTCATGGTCAGCTGCAAGATTCCTTTGGAAAAAGACAGACAATTTGGTGGCAGCAGGCATTTCATTTGGTGTATTGTCAAAGGCTTTCAGGGCTGGAATAACGGTGGTTGTAGGTTTTTTGGGTTGTATGACCATGTTTTAGAAGGATACCTGCATCTCCGGCAGGTATCCTCAGAGGTTGTGAAGTTTGTTGGAAACTGGAAAAGTGGGTTTATATATCTGTGGAAGGTCCAGGGTGGGAGAAAGAACTCTTGTCTGTTTGAGCCAAGTGGGAATGTTTCAGTTGACCACCTTGATTTATCAAACCTCACAACCTCTGAGGAAGCCTGCCACAGATGCAGGCGAAACATCAGGAGAAAATGCTTCTAGAACATGGCCATACAACCCGAAAAACCTACAACACCCCATCTAATTTGGGATGCTCAGAAAGCAGACCTGGGACTCCTGATGGGAAGGGAGGCAGCACAGCCATCTTGGTGTCCCTTCTGAGCATTGAGCCCATTCCTGGTCATTCAGGGACACACATGATCCAGCGAATGGAGCCCTTGAGTCTTGCCAAGGACCGCTCCTTTCTCCCGGCCAGCCTGCCTTCTGTTCCTTTTCCACGTTTCTGTTCATCCCAATAAAATCAATGTGATGCTCCAGAATTAGGATTTCCCCATTTTTCCTTCTCTCGTTCCTTTTTGTCTTCCTCCATCCCTCTCTTCTTCTGAATCCATTCCCTCCTTTTCAAAG